TGCACTCAAGACAGCCCCTTCATATTTTATCTTTGGTGTCATGGCGGCAGCGCTAATATACATGAGCCTTCTTGCCCCAATAATGGGCCATTACAGCTTCAGGAAAAGCCATCATGTTTCCGCAGCATTTATCTGTCAGCAGGAGACTATTATGGGAGCACAAACTCACATTGTATTAGCGTTATCAGTTAATTATGATCCGCGGGACATGTGCCAGCCAATGGGCTGACAGTCTGCTGACCACCACTCAGAAATATAACTCCACACCCCAAATTCAAGCATGTGAGAAGGGAAAGGGACCCAAAGAAGTATGTGGCTGGGAACATTTTCCCTGGCCAGAGGTCCATGGAGCCCCAGCCTGGTCAGTACTGTCCCCAGAGATGCACAGGTTAGGCTCGTTGTCTAGGCCGGGCCCACCCTAGACATCGTGGATGCACTTCCTGGACTCGCCTCCCCAAGCCCTGACCCTGGGGAGGAGCAGAAACAAGCTCAGACTGTGACTGAGACAGTTCCACAGAGACATCCTCTCCTTTCCGGGACGGTGGTAAGAAGCGGTTACGCACCTTGTGTGTTTCCTAAGGCGTCATCCCGCGTGGAAAACGTGGGTTCAGGGAATGTGAGGTGAGGGACAGGGATGGGGTAACCAAACAGCCAGTGACCCCCATTCACTGGACTCAGGGAGTGTGTGGCAGACTCCAAAAATTCTTGTTGGCTCTTAGCTTTTAGTGACGAGGCCATCAAGCCCTCTGCTCCCCCAGGGCCCACGCTGCATTCACCAGCTCCTGCTAAGTTACCCTGCTTGAAAGATGGGAGCAGCATCCTCTTGTTGAGGGCTCAGAGTAGCACACCACAGGGAGGGATTCAAGAATCTGAGAGATACTGCTTACTGCTGCCTCATGAGTGCAGAGACGACTGGTGTCAGGGAGGCTGCGGCAAGAGCAGGAAGATATGTACCAAGACTAGGCTCCACCAAAGGTGGGGATTTCCACCAGACCGGTGGCAGGGGGTGCTGTACGGGGATCAGCAGCAGAGATCATGGTCACTCGGGTAGCCCTTGAGGTCCAGGGCAGGGGTTTGCACAGCCCCCTTTTCAGGACTTAGCGAGACTGGGATGGGAAAGAGTGAGTGGATGCTCAGCATGCACCTGTGTTCAGCTATCCATGACACACTTGGTGCCTTCTGTCCCTGGGGAAACAGGTTTGAGGAACAGGGTGGGCCAGGCTGGGTCTGGGTGTGTTTTCCTACTTACCTGCTGGCCGGAGCATTCCTCCCCGTGCGATGGTGGGTCAGGAACTTGGTATCCACCAATCAGTGCTTCCTGTTTCCCCCAGGAAACCAGGCAGGGAAGGGCGTGTACACATCAGCCCAGTCCCCACCACCTACCCAGCGAAGAAGTGTGTGTGGAAGGTGATGCCAAAGGCACTGTTCTGGTTGGGCTTCATATTCCTTGGCAACGAGCTTGGATTCGGGGAAGGAGTAGGGAGTGAGAGTGAAGAGACACATGTACAAAGGTTTAGGAGTTGAGTAAGAAGAAACTCAGGCACCAAAGATGGCGTGCTTTGCAGGTATTCACCTTGTGACCTTGTGTAGGTCACTTCTCCACACAGGGAAATTTCTAAGTTTCCTCATCTGTAAAATCTGATGGTGATTCTAAATGATTCTCCAAGCCCCTCTCAGCTGCAAGGTTCTGTAAATGTAGTAAATATCTAAAGGAGTTTGTCACAAGAACTAAGTGAGCTGCTATCCCCTTACACCATCCACAATTACTGTTTCTAATGCCTTCGGTCCCAGAGTCGCCTTTGGCTGACGTGCCCATCTGGGGGCGCCAGGATTGGGACACAAGATAGTGAGGGGGTGGGTGGCTTAGAACTTGGTGCTAGGTGTGGACTGCAAATGGCACCTGCTCTAGGTGAGCGTTGCAAGAATGAAATGATAACTGGTTGAATGAATTTCACTCATTCTACCTCCCTTTGCTCCCTGCCTTTGTGTTCGGGAGAAGAGAGACCTTGGTAAGGTCACACGGAGACGTCAGGACAGATCCTGGGGTCTGCTGCATTCTCCAGCACTGCCATCTGTCCAGCTAGAGATGTGGGACCCGACCCTAACTTTGGGATGGAATACCATCCTCGGTGAGGTGAGTGAGGGCAGAGTGGAGAGAGGCCAGTCCCAGGAATAGTGTAAGACCCTCCCCCCCAAGTTTGCCTGGAGAACCACAGGAAAAGCCGGACCTGCCAGGCTGTATCAGGTCACCAGGGTATCCTTGCTGGTGGGCCTTGGTCTCCCCTCCAGCAGGGTCTGCGGGCTCTCTTGCCAGAGAGGGAACGAGAAAGAACTCTGCCTCGGCTGTAGTGAGGTAGCTGGACAGGCACCGGCAAGGAGGAGGAGGAAGTGGGGGTCTCTAGGACCTCATTCCCTCTCTGGAGGGCAATCATCTAGTACCCAGAGAGAGGCCCTCAGCTACCTTCTTCCTTCCTCCTTAGATGCAGACTGTGATTGCACAGGAGCATTAGCCTTGCTTTTTAACCAATGAAGCTTCTTATTTTCTTTCCCTCATCTGTCCCCCCCCCCCAGCTTTGAATCCATTGCCTGGGGCTCTGAAGTTGTCTTTCTTTTCGTGTTTTCTGTGTGTTTGTGTTTCGTTTGTTTCTTTTCAAATGTATCCTGTCTCCAGTTAAAATTGGTGCATCCAAACGGAGCAGGGAGCCACTGGTCCCATACAACCTAACCCCCCTTCGGGAACAAGCAGCCTGTCCCTCAGCAGGCCCACCCCAAATTGCCATACTTCAAATGCATTCAACAAAATATTCTTCAAGTAACTGTTCTGTATCAGGAACCATGAGTCACAGGGGATTCTCTGGGAAACAAAAACAGACATGGTCCCTCCCCTCATAGGGCTTATAATTTAGTGGAGGTGGGTGGGTATTATGCCAATCATATACAATTGCAAACTGAATAGCAGAAGGTTCTGGTGTGGTCCAGAAGGAGGGAAATTCTAGGTAGCAGGTACGAAGACTGAGGGCAGTATGGTGCAGGATGAGGAGGGGTGCAGAGAGACATACAGGAGTCTGTCCTGTGAGGCTTCCTTATGGGGCCAAGGGAAGGACCGGGACTGTGTACATTTTATAACGCCCTGACTGCGGGGCGATTGGAGAAGGGATTTCAGGGGGCTGGAAAGGATGCAGAGAAACCAGTCGCTGAGGTCTTGGCAAGAGGTGGTGGCTGTGTAGAGGCCCTGGTTAAGGACAGAGGCTCTACACCCTGCTTCCGTCTCTGATACAACCAAGTACCTAGGTGATTTAAAAAAATGTGGGGCTGCTGGGGGTTCTGCTGACAGAGCAGACATCTTCATCCCTCTCTCTGCGAGACGCCTGCCTGAGCCCTGAGCCTGGAGAGTCCCATGCGTTCCTCCACTTCAGCACATATGAAAAATCTCAGCTCCGTTTCCCAGCCTGCCTGCGCTTACATTTATCCAAGTCAAGTATCATCTGTGGCCCCAGCGCCCATTCCCCAGCCCCTCCAGAGCGCCTGGCCCCTCCTGGGGTTTCTCACCACCTCCCCTGCTTTTATTCCCCAAGTGCTCAACTACTGCCTGCAGTTACATGCCATTTAGACCTTATTTTGATGATAAAATTATGTCTCCTCCCCCCCCCATTGTCTTCTGTGGAATATAGGAGAATAAGGTGGTGTGGTCTCTCCTGAGGGCTTCCCCACCCCCACTCCCCCCACCCTTGCTTTTAAGTAATTCTATACCTATCCCCTCCCACACTCATTTGAATCCTCATATTATTATCTCTCTGTGGCTGGCACATCTCCAAAGATGAAAAGCCCCAGAAGAAGGATTGGGGCATGACTTATAGCTTGTTTTGGTACAGTGGCAGCCCATAATATCTGGGTTCATGGATGGAGCAGACAGGGATGCAGGTGCGTTCGTAGCTGGGGATTCAGGTGTGTATGCTGAAGCATCTACTTGTGTGCCCCTAAGTACCATGTGGCAGGTAAGCCGGTTGTTTTAACCACAATTGTGTTTTCCTAAGCAGGTAGGGATTTATTTGCTTACGTCTGTGTCCCAGGTACATTTCTGAGAGTTGCCAACAAAGAGCATCATTTTGCACATCTAGAGAGCATTTTATAGACGCACACCCCGCATCTAGCCATATGAGAGCCGTTCAGGACCAACTGGCCCAGGTGATGAGAGCTGGGAAGGGAATCTGCTTCCCTCCTGCTCTCTCCGGCTGTGCCTCACCTGCGGACCTGACCCTTTGCTCTTTGGTGCACCAAACACCAGGTCTCGAGGCTGTGAATTTCTAAGGCTTTGGCGTCTTCTGGGAGTGAGAGCGGCACACGGTGACTCATTTTTAATTTGTAAAACAGACCCATTCTAAAAAGCTGAGACAGAGAGGGGAGTGTGGCGAGGCCTGCCAGTTAAAGGATAGGGCGCTGGTGGGGGGGGAATATGTAAACAGCACATCTGTCAACCCCCCAGTCCCACCAGGCAGTTGGACAATTTTTTTTCTTTAATGGCCAGAGGACGGGCCTTGCCACTCTACAGCTCAGTCCTCTCACTCCTCAGGAGGTGAGGACCTCGCCTGAGCGTCTGATTCCATTGAAGTCTCTGGCTCACCCCCCTCCCCCCACCCCAGCTCGATTCTGTCACTTTAAGTCCAGCCCCTGAGAGATAGCCAATAGGAGCCAAACCATACATCAGTCTCCCAGCCTTAAAGCTACAGTAGGGTTAGTGGGCTCCAAGTCTCTGGTGCCTGAGCCTCCTCCACCGCTTCCCATCCCCTCTGCCCGCTGGAGTGTGTGCATGAGTGGGAGCGCTGGGCTGTGCGCGCACGGCTCTCTGCCTCCCTCTCGCCCCGCCACGGCGCTTCCTCCCACTCTGCCTTCTCCCGCTCACTGTGCCCCTGACTCGCACCTCGCCTGTGCCCTTCACTCGCTCTTCCGCGTGATTTCCCCGCCGCCTTTCTCCACCAACTGGGAATGCTAAAACGGGACTGATGGACGTGTCAGAACTCTGCATCCCGGACCCCCTCGGCTATCACAACCAGTAGGTGCTCTGTTTCTCGGTCGGTGGGTCGATCTGTCTGCCCTTCTGCCAGTCCGGCTGCCTCTGTCCTGGGTGTCGCAGTTCTCCTTCCAAGCATTTTTGAAGTGGCAGGAATCCCGGGGGCGCTCGGGGACGTCGGAGGGGGAAAGCCTCACACTTCCTGGGTTTCCTTCTGGGGCATGGGTAAACCGCCTCTAACTTTTCCTGCACCCCCTTTTACAAAACCTTACTTTTAAGTGCGAGCAGCGCTTTCTCATTCACTCTCTCTGCTCTTCCCCCGCGGCGAGAAAATATTTGAGTTTCTGTGGATTAGGGAGGAGCAGCCCAGAACAGGTGCGGAACGGCGCAAGGATATTTTGTCCCGTCCGAGAAAGCCTCCCCCGCGGGGCCCTTTGACTTTAATATTTATTTCCATACTGAAGACCGAAAATGATCCCGGCAAGGGGCGAAATCGAACGTGCCGCGCGGGTTTGGGAACTGCTGGCGCCCAGCGCTGCCTCGCCCAGCGGTCCCCGTGGGGCGCCCCGAGGGCGCGCACCGGGCTCGGTGGATCCAGGGCGCTCCAGCGCTGTGGGCGGCGCGGCCCCCGGCGCACTGCGCCCCGCACGCCCTGCGAGGGGATTCCGCGTCGCGCCAGGAGTGGGGATAGTCGGCCGGGTGGTGCCGCGGCGGAGGCAAAGTTGGTTCGCGGCTTGGCGGGAGGCTGCGGGCGGCGGAAGTGGCGGGCGCTCTGTCCGTGCCCCGGGCCGGTTTAGCGCTTGCCTTTCGGGATCTCGGGGTTGTCCGAGCTGCGCCGGCGTGGGCAGCGGAGGGGGCTGCGGGACCGGACTCCCACTGGCCCCGGCCTTGAGCGGTGCGTCAAGCGCGCAGAGTGGACAAGTGGAGAGCTGATCCCCCGGAACGGCGTGTCCGGCCCAGGTTCTCTGGGGTCCTGATGCGGCCACCCGCAGATTCCTTCCTATGGCCCTCCGCGCACGTTCCCCACTTGCTCGGGTACCCGCCCGGCTCTCCCCTCCGGCGCTGCGCGTCCCGCTGCGCTCGTGGCTGCTGTCCCGGCGTCTGCGTGTGGGCGCGCGCAGAGTGGTCCCTTGGAAGGCTGAAAAGAATAAGAAAGTGGAAAGTCTAGGTTCTTGAGGACCTGCTTAACTTGGTGCTTTTCTTCCTCTTTTTCTCCCTGAAGCGAACTAAACTACCAAAGTCAGTGCCCGCTCCACTATGCTTTCATTTTTGTACCCCACCCCCAAGAACCACGACATCCCTGAAATAAATACACTGGATAATGCGGGGTTCCAGGAAGTGTGCTCACACCCCTCTTCGCTGCACAGACTGCCTCCAACCCGGTGGACCACGCGGGAGCGAGGAGGCAACTTCGCAGCAGTGTCTCCTGTCGATGACCAGACTGCCCCAGTCTCCACGCTGACCTTTTTGGTTCTAGTTTTAGGATTTCCTTGGGCAGAGGGTCCTTTAGGTGCCGCCAGAGTGTCGGAAGAAGATGAGTTGGGATGGGAGATGCGAGGAATCTTTAATTCTAATGGATTCAGATTTCCATCAGCTTTAAAAGTGTCTTCTCGTTCTCTTTAAAGGTTAACGCTGATCTCGGGTTGTGTGGCTGGTGGGGATGGGGTAATGCCCTAAGATGCCCCCTCCTATAGCAGGGGGTGGGAGCCGCCAAAGAAGCCTCTGGGTGGGTGTAAGTGAGGCTGTGAACAATGTTTGATGCTTGTGGGGCACTTCACATAAAATTACCAAGTACGACAAATATTGGATATTTAAATTATTTAGGCTCCCTCTCTTCAGAGGTGACTTCTTTAGCTGAGCTCGAAATATCTATGTATTTGTCCCTGGCTCAAGTCATAGCCAATAAATATGAAAATTCGAATGGGGGAAGTTCATCCTTTGAGTATGTTGACCAGAAAAGCAAGGAGAAAGGATTTAGCAGCTGGGTAATTCATTGAGGTGACGGCAACCCTGGCTTGAGTTTGAGGAGAAATATGGGCGAAGAGGGAATGTCAGGGAAGCAGCAAGGGGGAATGAGAGAGCCGAAGTCCTGGGTGTCTGGGAAGGGTTTGAAGTGGAAATCATTTATAAAGTAAGCCTGACAGTAGTTTGGATTTCCTAGCCTTCCTGGTTCCTTTGCAAAGAATTCACTTCTCACTCCATGGGGCACTGGAAAAGCCAGAAATATACTCTGGCAATTCCACTGAGGAACTAAGGATCTATGTGAGATGCCATTTCTCAAAGCCCAGGATGTGCTGGGTGGCAGCCCCTAGCATTAGTGAGCTGGTCCCGGGTACAGATGTGTGCCTCCGGGCGAGCGTTTACATCTGCTGTGGTGCAGGGGCACAGAATTTCCAAGGACGAGCTTGTGGAGGTCAGAGGCTGGCAGGTGGGGGGAGGCATCTTCCTGACCTCAGCGCCCCCCAGGTTTCATGTCAAGTAGCTTTAGAGCCACTGGTAGCAAAGTAGCAAAACTGGGGACTGCATTCCTTGGTGTGTTCGAAGGACAGTAGGATGATTCCATTCACTGCCAATGGTGCTGATGTTTCTCGGGGAACATATGCATGAGTGCGTTCGTGTGCTTTGTGCACCCGTGTGGCTTAGTCGACATTCCCGGACTTGAGAAAACCCAAGGGCACAGGGACCACAGTTCTGCGAGAAAGGACTCTCCAGCCCTCCTTCTCACTTGCTAACACACAGAGAGCATTTTTTAATGCGTTAGTGTTCTCACTTTCCCAGGTGAGAAATTAACACACACACACACACACACACACACCATACCTTCATACTTTTCTCTCCTTCATTTTCATTTTCCTGTAGCCAATCCTGTAGGTGACTCCATTACCATTCCTAATCAATATTTTATGTACATATATAATCAGCCAGGGTAGGAGTGAGTGTGCTGACCTGCATGTGCCTGTATACAAATGTGTCTGTGACCCAAACGGTTGGAGACCCTCAGCCTAAAACCCAGGGAGCAGAGGTGGAGGTGGGGGGAGGGCAGGCTGCCTTACCCACCGTCTGATGACCACTTTGCTGTTGTTAATGAAACAAAGAACAAACTGTCCTGATGGTAAAATATGTGGGTTCACACGTAGGAAGAAATGGCACATGATAATTCAGAATTAGTGACCCAGAGAAAAACAAAGGGGAAATTAAATTTTAATGGTACATTTAAAAATAAATCAGAATGAGGACATTAGTCTTGGTTTTCCAAGGGAGGGGCTTTAGGAGCTAGACCCATATGTGTCTGCTGCCCTTCTGGGGGTGCGGGCGGCCGTGGAAGAGGACGATGGGGTGAAGGGAAGCTGGGCTCGTTGAGGCCTGAAGGCAGTGAGTTAGGAGGAAACAGGTCGGCATAGAGGGCCCCAGTCCCAGGGAAGGGCCTTTCCAGCTCAGTGAGATCCTGACCCCGACTGGAAATTTCTTCTTGGAGCTTATGATTTGCCCACCTCCTTTTGAGAAACAATCTTCTATTTTACCAATATTTAAGGAGCTAAAAGATGTTCTTTAAAAATGCATGTATGAAGAAACAACCTGGCCCCCCAAACAGGAACCTCTTCATTCTAATGATCCGGAGTAACCAGTCAATATTCCATTTTAGTCTCAGACAGGAGGGACAGAGGGGACTTTCGGGGCCAGTGCTGCCAGGGAGGTGGCCATGACAGAGATTGCGAGTCACCACCCTGCCTACTCAGGGTGGCCCCTGGCCCTTGCAACTTTGTCCTGAATACTTGATTCACGTTCCTGGTAACTCTGCATGTGGCCAACTCATTTTTTAAAGATAATCTAAACTCAGGGAAAAAGTTTGTCTCCTCCTTTGGCCCTCTGCAAAACGCCTTGTTTCTTTGGAGCACTTGGTACTGGAAAGATCAGCATGAGTCTAGCAGGCCAAAGTAACTGAGAGAGAGAGAGAGAGAGAGAGAGGGAGGAAGAGAGACTGACTGAGAACGTGTGCGTTGGGGTGGGCTGTGGGGTTAGCTGCGTGAATGAGCCGATCCAGGAGACAGAATTCAGAAGACAGGCAAGCAATTACACAAGACACAGGATGCTTTTGACGCAGTTCCGCAGTGCCCTTCTCTAGAACTTGTCTTCTCAGATGCTTGAAGTGGCTTCCCCAACATGACTGAAATTACTTGTGGTTTGAGTTTAAGGGGACGGAACAGCATTATTTAGACCATCATCCAGTCCTTCAGAGATGTACAACCCACACCCTCAGTACCCACTGCCGATGCCTTCCCACACCTACCGGCCATCATCAGTCTCTGTCCATCCCTCCCCGAGGGATGCTCTTCCAGCTTGAGCAGGAGGTCGGCCCAGAATCTGCCAGAACTCCTCACAGCTCCACTGGGAGCTTCTGTCTTGGAGTCTGGTGGCTCTTGACTGAATGTTCCTGTGGGAGAGCCCAGCATGGCTTGAGTGCTCAACCTCTAATGTCCTCCGCAGCCGCTGTCATTCCTAGAGGGAGTGTGGGCCCACAAGGGGGCTTTGAGTAGAGAGTCCACACACCATTGCCAGGAAGCCTTCAAGGGCACAACTCCTGACTGTTTGCCCTTGCGGCCATTCGCTGATTTCTAGGGATAATCAAAGATCTTTCTGAGCACTGCAAGTGCTGGTGACCCCTGACTGGCTACCACTCTGGTGAGTTTTCCTTTCTCAGTCCCAGCAGCCTCATACTTCCAGGGAGCTGTCAAATTCATGGCCATTCCTCGGAGGGGGAGCCCCTAGGCTTCTGCTGGTCGTGGTGTCCATTGGCGTGGCTGGGGTGGCCTGGAGTGGGATCACGTCCTGGTTACCCCATCGGCTGGTGCAGCCTGGTCCCTGTGCAGGGAGGTTGTGGTGTTTATAATTGCAAATGTAATTAGCAGACCAGCTCTGGGGGACTGGGATGCTCAACTTCTGTGCACATCACGGTGACCCCTGTGCTGGCTGGCTGGGCAGATTAACCCTCACCGGGCCAGCCTGTCCCCTGCCGCTGACCTTTTACTGATGACGGCAGAGTG